TAGCACATCGCACATCATAAAAATCTTTGAGAGAGTGCTAAGAACAAAACTCGGTCAAATCAAAACATAGAATGGAAAGGCAATGTAAAGGATTTGGGTGTACTTGATGTCGGAAGACCTTACATTTAAAGAACACAGTAAAGTAGCCGTCACAACTGCAAGAATAATGACAGGTTGGATAACAAGAACCTTTCACACTAGAGATGCTATACCGATGATGATACTTTTCAAGACGTTAGTGCTCTCTAGAGTGGAATAATGCTGCACAATAACAGTCCCTTTCAAAGCTGGAGAAATTGCTGACCTGGAGAGCATGCAGAGGTCCTTTACTGCTAAAATCCACTCAGTAAAACATCTAAACTATTGGGATCGACTAGAGTTTAAACCTGTATTCTTTTGAGTGCAGGTGGGAGAGATACATAACAATTTACACATGGAAAATAGTAGAGGGGCTAGTCCCAAACCTGCACACAGAAATAACATCACATGAGACCAGAAGGCATGGCAGGATGTGTAGAATACCCCTGTTGAAGAGCAGAGGTGCAACAGGTACTCTGAGAGAGAACTCTATCAACATCAGAGACCCGAGACTGTTCAACACGCTTCTGCTACACATAAGGGGCATAACTGGCCGACCCCTCACAGTGTTCAAGAGAGAACTTGACAAACATCTCCAAAGGATACCTGATGAACCAGGCTGTGACTCATACGTCAGGCTGCGAGCAGCCGCGTCCAACAGCCTGGTTGACCAGTCCAGCAACAAGGAGGCATGGTCGACAACCGGGTCACGGGGTTGCTGAGCCCCGGAATCACCTCAAGGTAACCTCAAGGTCAAGGTAACCCAAAGGAACCCGAAAACGAACCCAAGGAACCCACAGGAACCCAGAAACGAACCCGAGGAACCCAAAGGCCACAAGAAACGAACTCAAAAGGGAGCTGCACCCAACACACAAAGGGAAGGATGGTATGAAAACCCCTCCTCTTCAGAAGAAGCCCCTTAGCAGAGGGCACAAGAGTGCAAGCGGGGTCAAAAGGAACCCAAGAGTTAAAAGTGGATTCCTCCTGAGCCCCAGAAACCATCAACAGAGACCCTGGGGCAGTGCCCTCATCCATGCCTACTGCCCTATATGGAAAGGTGAAGTCCAAGGGAAAGGTTTCGAATTAGGGAGCTGGTTCGACTCGGAAGCCTCGACGGGAAAAAGGGGCTCGACTCCCTTTGTGCCCTCATCAGAAGTGGCAGCCCCCGAAGCCAACCGAGCCTCTCCCTGAGCGAAACCCCACCCTGACTCCGAAACCCTCAGACGGTTGGGAGCCGGAAGCAGGGAAAGAAGAGCAGGGTAAACTATGCCCACCTGGGAAGGAAGGAGGCGGCTCGGACTGAACTAAGGCCAAAACAATCCACACCCACAAACCGAATCCCAAAACCTAAGCGGTGCAGCTTCGGGGCCTCCAAACAGGTAACCAACCTGGCCGGTGCAATAAGGAAAACCAATCATGCAACCCGGCTGCCGCCTGATCCCAAATATCACTAAAGAAGTGATGAGTAATAGGAGCACAAGTGGGGAACAAGTCCCGCCAGACCCTGGGTGGCAGGTGTCCCCAGACCTCCAGGCGGCAGGTGTCCCCAGACCTCCAGGCGGCAGGTGTCCCCAGACCTCCAGGCGGCAGGTGTCCCCAGACCTCCAGGCGGCAGGTGTCCCCAGACCTCCAGGCGGCAGGTGTCCCCAGACCTCCAGGCGGCAGGTGTCCCCAGACCTCCAGGCGGCAGGTGTCCCCAGACCTCCAGGCGGCAGGTGTCCCCAGACCTCCAGGCGGCAGGTGTCCCCAGACCTCCAGGCGGCAGGTGTCCCCAGACCTCCAGGCGGCAGGTGTCCCCAGACCTCCAGGCGGCAGGTGTCCCCAGACCTCCAGGCGGCAGGTGTCCCCAGACCTCCAGGCGGCAGGTGTCCCCAGACCTCCAGGCGGCAGGTGTCCCCAGACCTCCAGGCGGCAGGTGTCCCCAGACCTCCAGGCGGCAGGTGTCCCCAGACCTCCAGGCGGCAGGTGTCCCCAGACCTCCAGGCGGCAGGTGTCCCCAGACCTCCAGGCGGCAGGTGTCCCCAGACCTCCAGGCGGCAGGTGTCCCCAGACCTCCAGGCGGCAGGTGTCCCCAGACCTCCAGGCGGCAGGTGTCCCCAGACCTCCAGGCGGCAGGTGTCCCCAGACCTCCAGGCGGCAGGTGTCCCCAGACCTCCAGGCGGCAGGTGTCCCCAGACCTCCAGGCGGCAGGTGTCCCCAGACCTCCAGGCGGCAGGTGTCCCCAGACCTCCAGGCGGCAGGTGTCCCCAGACCTCCAGGCGGCAGGTGTCCCCAGACCTCCAGGCGGCAGGTGTCCCCAGACCTCCAGGCGGCAGGTGTCCCCAGACCTCCAGGCGGCAGGTGTCCCCAGACCTCCAGGCGGCAGGTGTCCCCAGACCTCCAGGCGGCAGGTGTCCCCAGACCTCCAGGCGGCAGGTGTCCCCAGACCTCCAGGCGGCAGGTGTCCCCAGACCTCCAGGCGGCAGGTGTCCCCAGACCTCCAGGCGGCAGGTGTCCCCAGACCTCCAGGCGGCAGGTGTCCCCAGACCTCCAGGCGGCAGGTGTCCCCAGACCTCCAGGCGGCAGGTGTCCCCAGACCTCCAGGCGGCAGGTGTCCCCAGACCTCCAGGCGGCAGGTGTCCCCAGACCTCCAGGCGGCAGGTGTCCCCAGACCTCCAGGCGGCAGGTGTCCCCAGACCTCCAGGCGGCAGGTGTCCCCAGACCTCCAGGCGGCAGGTGTCCCCAGACCTCCAGGCGGCAGGTGTCCCCAGACCTCCAGGCGGCAGGTGTCCCTGACCCCTAGGCAGCATGACAGAGGCAGAACGAATGATCGTCTCCCGGAGGCAGGAACGACGAAGAACCCTCAAAGTTGCCCAAGGCGAGAGTGAGCTTGGAAGAAGTACCATGATACAACCGAGCCCACAGGGATTTTCCAGGACTTGTAGAGCGAATAAGCCCTACAAGAAGCCCCAGGCACTGGGGCCAGCTAGGCCAATAAACCTTGTCTAAAGCAGGCAAACTGACTGCAAATAGCAGTTGTGAAGTCTCGGGGGCAACAGAGGACCACCACTACCACAACCTAAGCTAAGCCAAACAAAGAGCTAGGCAGAACTCCACTGCCACAACAGGCTAAAACAACAAAATGAAAATAAAACACAGCCCCCAAAATCACACAAGCAAACTAGCAGCCAGAGAGAAACCATCGGCCACCAAGTTTGATAGTAAAGCAGGCTGCGCTAGCCACAGTGCGCCCCAACAGCTAACAAACATACCCCTACCCGAGGCCAGTTGGAAAGTCTAAGACCCCAGGCTCACCCCAAAAGCGAGGACAACCACAAGTGGGGAAGCCCCCTAATGGCGAATGTTCCCTGAACGCTCCAGGAAAGATAACCCTGAGATGCAAGGGCAGTAACTTACAGAGCACTTAGGAAAGGGGGGCCCTAGGTGCATGCTGCTCCACTACTCAAAACTCGTGGCAACATGCATACCTCCATGCATAACACTGCCGCAAGGGCGAAACACCAAAGAAAACGGGAACATGGAGCCACTCTGACAGCAACCACTTGGCACGACTACATCAGTCACAGAACTGGAGGGTGGCGGCGACCTAGCTCGGCCAGCTCCTCCTCCCCCTGTGATGGGGTGGGGGGGGGGGAACGGGGTGGAGCTAATGAGCAGGGGGGTTTAGTTGGACGAAGTTTTGCTTTTTTGCTTACTGGGGGAGTTCTTTCGAGCTTGTGGTGCACTTTTTAACCAGGCAATGGTCTGTTTTGATTCCCCTACCTTTCTGGGTGCCTTTCCTGGTCAATGGCAAGAGGACATACATTAAATGTAAAGTGTTCATGACCACTGCTCCCTTTGCCTCCTTGAGGGAGGGGGGAAGGTTCTGGCTCGTGGTCCCCAGTAGACTTAAAAGAACTCTGCGACTGATGACACTCAAATAGTATGGCATTTGATCAGTAAAATAGCTTCAGAGAGCCAATGGGGTGCCCCCAAGAAAAGTAATTTTTCTGAATTTTTTCTTGCACAATGGGGATTGCTGTGTAAATCAAGTGCACAGTGCAGGGGGTTGAAGAGATGGGACACATTTGAGTGCCTGCTTTAGATACTGCATTAGCTAGATTGTTTGACGCAGCACCAATATGATTAAGTACTCAATAAAGCTCTATGGTCTATAGTTGCTGAAGATGATAGGCAACCGGTGTTGAATTTTTGTTATGATGGGATTAGTAGGGCTCCAGAGACATTAGAGAACCTTAAGAGTATTTGACAATAACAAATAAATGTCAATTCATTATTATTAACTTTCATAGAGCATATTACAATGCAAAGTTCTGCCCTAAAAACTTTTGTCTCTGAAGAAAGGCAGGCTATAAGGGCTATATAGGAGAAAATAATGGAGAACCCAACACTATCAAAAGATGACAACATCATTGCACCTTCCTGTCATCACTCATCCATATATGTACATCTCAAGATAGAGATTTAGAAAATATTGATATAAACAACAGAGGACTTCATATCCCCACCCACCATGGAGAGACAAAAATAGAATAAATAAAAAATAAGAGGCGGCACAGCAACAGCCACAGAAATAGTAAGAATATTGTATGCAGGACAACACTGAGGAGCCTGATGGAATATCAGAAGCCAATAAGGTTACAGATTTCTCAATGGCCAGCTGACATTAGTTCAGCTAGACCAGCTAACTGATTCAGCTAGGCCACACTTCACCTCCCATTTTACCCCATCTCACTGGCTGGGCTACACAAATTTCAATGGAATAGCTCAATTAATGCATTTGTACACAAGGAAATCACAATAACATGATACACTGTAAAATAAATAAATATATATATACACACACACACAGTATATGATTCCTTTTCTGTTCCAAGAATTTTCTCAATGCATTGGTATTTTTTCAACTAATCTATTCTTACCTTTCTAAACAAGCAATCTGGTCATTGGCTTGTTCAATTTGAGTGGCTAAGGCAGCTTCTTCTTTATCTTCTTCAATGATCATTCTGCTTTCCTGCTCAGCGGCAGAGACTTCACGCATAAATGACATCCACTCTTCAGCGTCTTTATCTTTATATTCTACTTTGCGTGCCTAAAGCAAAGAAATGTCTTTATGTCTCTCATAAATTATATTTCTTAATGTAAGAAAAATTTCACCATTATCAAGCATTTTCAATACTGAACAAGACAAAAATTTTGCTACTGCTCTTATGGATTTATTTATTTATTGCTTGTAAAGTACTTACTGCAGAATGAAGGGGCTATTGGATTGCTCCAGACATGGCAATGTGACCAACATACGGTAACTTTGTTGAACAAAGTTTATGCGATAGAGCCAGAACTCTGTGTATGTTAGTGGTGGCATACTAAATATTTTAAAATTAAAAATGGGGAGAGGGATATGTCAAGAATATGTAATATCATGGATATTCAAAATCTTCAATGTCTTTCAAAAGATGATTATGTGGTGAATGGAAAATGTAACATTTAAGTGTTCATACCTTTGCATCAGCCACAGGGTCATCAAAGAATCCCTCCGGTAAAACTTCCGTTGTATTAGGTTTTGGTGGATCTTTGGGCTTGGGTGGTCTTTCTTGGTATATTGATTCATCTTCTTGAGATTTTGGAGGAGTTTCCTCTGTATCAAAGAAGCCTTCAGGAACCCCTGCAATTATAATAATATAATAAGTTCATCTTGCATAATAAAATTACCAATACAGTATAATAGTTCGTTATTAACATCACCATTAAACAGTTTACTATTTTTACAAGGTGGAAGGCTAAGAATGAAAGAAATATAGAAGATAGCAATCAGGAAAGATTAAGATGCTGTAATGAAACTTGGGAAAACACTCATCATTCACTGTATCTTCCACGTTAAAAACAATCACCATCACACTTCAAAATTTCTACATCAATACCCAACTTTCATATAACTAAGTTTAGAGAGCTTCTCATGATTTGTCAAAATTATATTTAATCTCTCCACCAATCTGCTTCCAACTAAACTAGTTACCCATCATTACTCATTACTGTTCAACCCTCAATCCTGAATCAATATCACAATATAATCACAATGTCTATATGTGAAAACACAAGGATGCATATACTGTACAGTCAAGTGAAATTAACATATAAAACAAACAAATGAACACATGATAACCATACCAGCATATTCTAAATATAGTATAAGGCAGCTTACCATTTGATATTTCCTTTGTAGTACCATTTTCTTCTTTAATTTGTGTTGCTAAAACTGGCTTCTGTTCTTCCTCATCACTGTCATCCGATGAGGAGTTTATACTGACCTTCTTTAAGATACCTGTTAATACCAGTTCTATTAATAATACCAATTCTGCCTCCGTAAATAAAATGAGACCACAATTAAGGTACAGTAATCACAAAATAAGTATAGAAGATCATATTGACACAAACAAGTAGAGTATTCTAAAATGACGACATATACCTGCAGCTCACCTTTAGGTTTACTTGCACTTGTTGCTGCTCTCTTGTTGGGAGACTGAGCGACAGGAGAAGCAGGTCGTTTGAGTTGCCCCGATGATTTGGCACTGCTACTCTTGCTGCTTAATGGCTGATTGTTTAACTGTAAATCACACAGCTAAATTATGTGTTTATACAAAGCATAATGAAGATATATCTTATCATTATTTTGTTAAAGCCTTGTTCACTTCAACTTTCATTTGTTCCCAGGCAAAAATTGTTTTCTCAAACTGTACATAGCAACATACAGTATAATATGATTAACAGCAAATTTGGCTTAATAAACACTAATACAGTGGACATACATGGCACAAGTTTTTCTGATATTTAAAACACACTTTTCATTACGGTATATGCTTGTCTTATGGTACCTTAAATTTGTGCAAGTACTTTGCGGATTATATTATTACATCGTAGTCCCTCTCAGGTATTCAGCAACTCCTACTGCACCCCAAAGTAGATAAAGAAATAAATGGGTGTACATTGAAATCACAGTAACGTTGTAACACAGGACCGGTATTAGCTCTACTTTGTCCTTTACCCTGTCCGTGAATATGCTTACTGAAACTTGAACCGAATTCCAAAGGACTCCCAGAGCATACTCTATAGCCAAGTCCCACGCCACGTGGTCTTAGCCGCTCGATCGGCTAAGATTCTACAGCCACGTGACGTTGTACTAGGTTTTCTAGCAAACTCAAGGGATCCCTTTACGCCGCCACCACTAGACCATTAAACCAAAAACGTCAATTAATCGGGGTCTGGACCAATTAATCAATCATTAAAACCTTGGGGCTTACTCCCCAAATTACTTGGAAAAGGAGGGATGAATCTACGTTAAGTGTGGGAATACCAAAAATAAGGGGATATATGATCTCGGAAACTTTGCTAGGCTTGTGGCCCAAATAAACTCAGACTCATGGAGACCACGGGGCAAGGACATGCTAAAACATTCATGGAAATAATAAAATACAGAGAACAAGCTAATCATTTATTTAAGTAAGATCTAAACAACAACTAATAAATATCACTCCCTAACCTGAACACTTCCTATTGAGGCAAAAGTGAATTATTCCCTATACAAAAACGTAGCAACTATACCTTGTCTCTGAAACCAACTGATGGACTGCTGATTTCAGGAGAAGTGAGGGTGACCTCTCCAATTGCTGACTGAGCCCACACTCTGCCCTACCTAGACTTCCTCGAAGCTAGTCAGCGCTAGAGGGTATTACTCCGCCAGGCCTACTAACTAAGCAGGGTTTAAATTGAACAACTAATCTCTATTGTACTGAACAACCCAGCTGGTTAAACTCTTATAAACTGATGGTAATTGTACAGGCATCTTAGGGAGAGGCTACTTCCAATTATAATATTCGCTAGTGATCTGAATTTGAACGTTGTGAATTACTAAATATGGAGATTGTGGTCACGTCAACTGCATGATCTCCTTGCCTCGGCTACGTCATCAGCGGCCCACCGACCTAGTACCTCCTACTCATGACATTACTTCATAATGACTGTGTATGCACTCTGATCTCAAGCTGTACCTTCATGTTGGGCTAGCTTACATACTTAATGCAATTAGTTGTTACTGTAATTACTGTGATTGTTAAATACTTCATTACATGTTGCTTTTAGAACAAAGGTGACGGCCATCTTGTATTCTGATGTGTTAATCCCAGGGGGAGATACCCATGTTCCTAAGTCAGGTCGACTACTTTCTGACTCCATATTGTGTACAAGGGCGTATGCCACTGCCTCCCATACAATTACTTATTTTAACACAGCTTCAGTTGTTACAACGTATATCCCACCCATTGCATAATATTTACAGAATACTGGTATTTTAATTATATTCACTTTATTCAGTATATCTGCAGCTAGGAAATGGTGATAGCACTTAGTGACAATGTTTAACACTTTAGTTGCGCAAGACATCATATGATGCATTGAGTGACTTGCAGTAACTTGCGCTCCGCATCATATGATGTTTTGGAGTACCGCGCAAGATTTAAATGGCCCGCGGATACACGGGGCTCACCACACCTTTATCAGGGCTCTTGTAAACAGACACCATTTTAAAAAAAAATTGTGGGCCAAATTCCAAAGTGTGAAGTGTGAGGGGCCTCAGTATTGAGTGAGCTACCAAGCCTGACGCACGCAGCATGAGCTCACAGCACTACTGTTCAGCTTGTGACCACAGCATCGCCTAAAAATGCCATAATATACATGTTCTTGCTATTATTAGCGATGATATTAATACAGAAGACCCATGACTGTGATAAAACTGACCAGGGTTCTGATAACAGCAAGATTGTGGTAATATTTAGCACTGTGCTCCATGGAGGGAGGAGGGCTGTGGGAGGGAGGGTGCTGACGTTGTCTTCTGACTGTGTGTGGCCACCTTTTATTGACTGCACTCACCATACCAGCTTAGTGGTTCGCTATGGTGAACACAAATGTAGATACTTATATATAATGTGTGTATAGAGTGTAATAATAGCAATAGGAGTAGGTTGGGAGCCGCCATTTTGGTGAGGGAGGTGGCGTCATCTGCACAACTTATCATGTTTACTGGTGACCACTATGGTCTTTGGGCACCATACCAACTTACTTGTACAAGTATGGTGAATAAAACAGGTAGATACTTATATATAATGTGTATGTATAGCATAATAACACCACAAACAGTATTGTTGGAGGAGAAATATCAGTGCGTCTGGCCTTGAGGGCGGTCGCCACCAGCTGACTGTGTGAGTAGCTACGTCTTTGTGCATTTACTCACCATACAAGCTTAGATGTGCAGTTATGGTGAACAAAACATGTAAATACTTATATATAATGTCTGTATATAAAAGCAAAAACAGTATGGTGGGAAGAGAGTGTGGGCGAGTGAGGTGTTGAGGGAGTGAGTGGCAGCGAGTGGCTGGGTGGTGTGTGGCGGTCACTCCTCGCTACTTTTTGACTCATAATAGCAACTTAGTGGTTCGTTATGGTGAACAAAACATGCAGATACTTATATATAACCTGTGTATATAGTGTAATAACCAACAAAGTATTTGTTCACCGTTTGATGAACATAATAATTGAATCAACAATATGCACACCATATTTTTTAGTACAGTGATGGCGATGGTACAGCGATGATTCACTCATTTTATTATATAAATATATCACACTACACACTATTGAATAATATTACAACAAAAAAACTACGAAAAATCAATCAGAGACATTGAAATAATTAGGTAATTATCTCTTTGTGGCCACTCCTGCCTGACAGCTGGGAGCAACAGACCGTCTGGGACGCACGCTGAGTCAGCGCCTGTTTTTTGCCAGAATTCCCCACCCTATAGCGGGCAATATATGCCACTTACGATTTTTTTATTATTTTTCCCATGATCAGTGAACACAAATTAACAGGTTTAGAAGAAAAAATTATTATTATTTTTTTTTTTTTTGGTATGCACCTGACTGTGTTACACTAGTGCTAGGGGAACACTGAAGAATTTTTAGTCCAGCCTGGAATGAACATTGGAAGGTTCATTGGATCATATTTAAATACCTTCAAAACATTACTTGTCATCATAAAGAACACCAACTTGTGCTACCCCTCTATGCCTTCAGCCTAGCCATGTTCAACTTGACACTTGGTGAAGAATCAAGAGATGATACCAGAACAGGGTGGAAAAAGAACGGCTTAAGAGTTGTGAACTTCTACAACTTGTGGGAACGAGGATACACCTGTACCTGATTTACCACTCTACAAAGTAACAAGCAGATGTAAGTCCTTTGACAGATGTAACAAGTCCTTTGACACTATCAAAGGACCAATATGTTACCCGAAGATACTGTAAAAGCATAAAGCCACTACAGAAGAGAGACCATGGCAAACAATGAAATGGACAAACCATCCCAAAAATAAAACAGGGTCCTGTTGAAGGACACTATATATTGTCACTCATGGCAATAACAATAGGAATGGATACAAAATTTATTCATGTCCAAGGCCAGCATTGGAAAAAGAAGGCAACTGTAAAAGGAACCTCCCACTTTCCTTTGAGGAAAATTTGTTAAAAAACACAACTCCTTTCGAGATAAAACCACTCCAGGTAAGGCTCAAATTTAGAGGCCAAACCTCTCATTGATATAGAGACAGTGCTCCCGACGTTCAATCCTGTTATGATTAGTGCAGGTGAACCTTGTTTAGAAAAAATGCTTCCACCAAAAATATATGCTCTAACATATAATATACCTTTACTTTAAAAAGAAATTGATCCCTTTTTGTTACTTAAGTGGCATTATTTAGAGCTTGGGCATGCTTACCTTTCCTTTTGTTTGGATCCATCCATGCCTGCAAGTCCCACATTTTTAAAGACATTTGCAATCTGACTAAGCATTGAATAACCTAACCAGCTCCAGTGCCTAGCCTGAGGCCTAAATACCAATGTGACCATCTGCTTGTCCTTTAGGAACACAAAAACTGGACACATTATATTTTTCCAAGAGACAACAGAAAATTAAGGACTAGGCCCTGAAGTAGGACTGGATGGAAGAGCAGTACAGTGGAACCATGGTTTATGAATGCCCTGGATTACAAGTTTTTGGTATACAAAGTCAATTGCCTCGTAAAATTTGATAGGTGTACGAAGTTTGTCTTGGAATATGCATCGTCTGTTGATACAGTACTTGTATGGGTCGACCACATGGTTCTGCTGGGCGAGGCACGCTCAGGTTTACAAGTGTATCCCTCCCCCCTAGTGACGACAGTGCTTGAATTCGATGTGAAGAATTTCATTGTTTTTCTGCTTTTTTGGTTTCTGAACATAAAAGTTCTTATTATATATCATGCCATGGGTATCAAGAAAAAAAATCAGTGGTAAAGTTCAACCTAAGAAAATAGTTGTGAGTAGAGGCAGTAGAGGATGTCCCTTCTTCATTAAGGAAATGTGTACTGTACAGTATGAGAAAAACTGCAAAGTTTTGCAATTAAAAGACTTGCCCAGATAAAGCTGTAGCATGCCGTTGACCTTTTTAATGACAATGTAATATCTCACTGCAGACAAGAGTTTAAACGTAGGAAAATAACAAGCATCTATAGACAGATTCTTAATAAGACAAGCAAGCATTGAGCCATAACCAGGTCCTAGTGGTATGCCTGCAAAATGTAAGAGAGAGAGAATATCCCAGAAATGTCATCACTGCCTGATATTATAATGGAAGGGGACTCCCCATCCATACACTAACACCTTACCTTTCTTCCCCCCTCCTCACCATCTTCCATCACTAGAGTCCTCAATAAAGGTAAGGCATAGTAAAAAATATGAATAGTATTCTGTTTAAAAATGTATTTTAAGTTAATATTTTTGGGTGTGTGAAATTGATTAATTCAATTTATATTATATCTTATGGGAAAATTTGTTTTGGTTTACGAATTTTTGGAGTATGAACCGTCTCTTGGAACGGATTAAATTCGTAAAACAAGGTGCCACTGTACCATTTTGATTTTTAACCCCCCTGTGTAAAATTATAGGTCTTATTTCAAATAAACTATAACATATGCACAGCTCACCTGCTGTTGCTTTTTCTTGAGTGATGTAAGATTCTCCAGGTGAGATCTCTTATTAACATGTGCTTGCCAGATGATTGCACTCTTCACCACTGTTCCGCACACCACACACATCAGCTGTCCCCGGCTGTTGTATCTGGCATATTTTGTTAAGGAAATTCTCTAAAACAATATATGTACTCATCTACCATAGAAAAATAAGAGAAAAGCTTCATTACATAAGTTACAAAGTAAAAAACTTAAAATAAGGCCTAGTGTGTGGATGAAAAGTTTGATTTGAAGTAAGGTACTTCCTTAGGCACTTCCTTAGGCAATATCAAGTTCTTTCCAACCAGGCACCAAGATTATGTACATCCATGAGATTTTTTTCATTTTTAAGGCACAGAATGTTTAGTTAAATAAAACTGGGTTAGGCAATGACATCTGTCATTGACCAAAAATATTACACAGTTAGTTCCCAGTATGCTGTAAATATCATTAGGTAGCTGACATTATCAGAAAAAGCTAAATGTTTTCTAATCAGTAATTGAGATTTATCTGAATTATGAGCTCTCACTTACTTTAAACTCTGTAGAGGCATGAAAATGGGGCACTGTATTACAATACTTGGATAAATGCTCAAGGGGGTTTGACAATTTTTGAATACAGGAAAATGTAACAAATTGTTGAAGCAGAGCAGTTATGCTTTTAATTGTATTCACATATGCAGTGCTCAATGGATCTGTATCCCATGTCACAACAATCACTTGGTTAAATAATGATTCATCATTCAGACAATTCCTCAATTATTTTGAAACCTCAATTAAACCCAGGTTTAATCTCAGGATTGTCAATTGGTGGATATGGGCTTATGAGGCACTGTGCTTCTTGGATATTTCATAATAATATTTACCTCTATCCAGGTCACACAGTGATGGTTACATCTTCCTAATTTATAATGCATCTAAAGACAGCATATTAAGAGAGCTCTCTCGTATTTGGATACAGGCCTATGTCCTGGACTCATGCAGTAAACAGGTGCCAAGGACCTAAATAGATGTTGGGCGCATTCAATCTATTGATTGTCGTCGCCCCTAAATCAGCAACAACATGCTTTTGCTTGTTTTTATTGTTGATGTTAACATCACCAATAAAAATGATGGAAAGTTAATTGGCCTATACATAGAGACTCAACTACAGCCCCCACAAACAACACAGCCAAAAAAGTCTCAAAAACTGTTGGTATACTCTCTATAAATCAGATATTATGTTTCCCACTCTGCTCTCATATAATTATACTACTCTCTAATTAAAATTTGTTTGGCTCCCATCCCATGTTGGAGTTGGAAAACATGACTTTGTAGATCGATTGGCCAATGAGGCTTGCAGGAAAGAAAACATTGATTATGACTTTGGACTATCTAGTGCAATTATTAGAAACATACAAATTAAAGAAATTAATTCAGATTTAGTAGAACTAAGAAATGCCCAGAGACCTGAAAGCTGCAGTATTAAAAGCTATGACAACTTTTGTAATAATAGGTATTTGTATGGTCAGCATAGTAACCGGACCAGATAATGTGATAGTGTCATTACGCGAATTCGCCTTGGCTATATCTGGCAGGTTAGTGAGGCTGAGCCACTACCAGAATATTCAGATTGTAAACTCTGTGATAAACCTTTAATGCATTCACTGGAACACTATATTGTTGAATGTGAAACTGTAAAAGACTTTAGTCCTCCTGGCCTATTGTACCACCATCTGTGTAACTATTTGATTGACTCAGGTGTTCTTGACGACATCCTAACAATTTATCCAAAGTTTGCTTGTCCATTTTAAAGAATGAAGAACAATTATGATGTATATTACTTCTAAGCTGCATCACTTATGAACCCATCCCTGCCCTTGTGTGGCAGTGCAAAATAGAAAGTTGTTTTCACATATTCATACATTAAAACATTGATTGTAACCATGATATATATGTGCTTCAGCCTACAGTTTAGACTTATTGTCTTGTGTATAACCCTCTTTCCTGTGTGACAGTGAATACCAGCATTATCCTCACTTTAATAAGACTTAATTGAAAAATTGTAATTGATTTTGTCAATAAAGATGTTAATAATAATAATAATACTCTCTAATCTATCCCTATCTTACATGTAGTACCTGTGCATGGGGTTCAACTACTGCAAATTACCTTAAGCCCATCATCACCCAGCAAAAATCTGCTATTAGAACAATAACAAACACTTTTCACACAACACACAGCTCCTCTGTTTAAATCCCTAAACATGCTAAACATACACTCACTCCACGCTTCTCTTGTGCTATTTACATGTACAAAACCTTGTTCCTAAATGCAAATCCTGATCTGAAACTTCCTCGAGATGTAATATAATCCATGATCGCCACACAAGAAATAAATCTCTCTTTGATATCCCCAAAATGCTATGCATGTTAATGGCTTTGCAAGAAGGTATCCTTCAAAGGATACCTGATCAACCAGGCTGTGACTCATACGTCAGGCTGCGAGCAGCCGCGTCCAACAGCCTGGTTGATCAGTCCAGCAACCAGGAGGCCTGGTCGACGACCGGGCCGCGGGGACGCTAAGCCCTGGAAGCACCTCAAGGTAACCTCAAGGTAAGAATGTAAAAAATCAGTATTATGCACTCCCACAAACCCAATGTACCTTCTTGTATATATAAATCTAAAAAATAAATGAAAAACAAATAAATGTTGCACGTTGCATCTTGGGGAAAGTCAGTGGCCCTAGGGGAGGATGGGACCTTGAGGTCTAACAGGCTTCCTTTCTCTGACTATGTCAAACCAAAACCAATAATCAGGCAACTCTGGAAACTTTTCTAAGTAATTGTACTACATTGGGCCAATGTACTACATTAGGCTGGACAGTGCTCGGGATTCGTAGTTCAAAGGTTCCGGGTTCAACCCCCAGTGGAGGCAGAAACAAATGAACATGGTTTCTTTCACCCTGATATTCTTGTTCACCTAGCAGTAAATATGTGCCTGGGAGTTAGACAGCTGCTACGAGCTGCTTCCTGGGTATGTGTAACAAAAAGGAGGCCTGTTCAAGGACCGGGCCGCAGGAACGCTAAGCCGCGAAATCATCTCAAGATAACCTACATAACAAAGATATTAAAAATATTTTGAAAGATATTAACACATTTCAAAAGAATTCCTAAAACAAGCTTCACAACTCTCATTAACAGGACGCAAACCCATAAGACATACAACAATCATATGTAAACAAGACTCTTCAAAAAGTATTAAAACTGACGCTAGCCACACCAGCAGGTTAAGGATACTTGGCATATGGAGAATCAATCTGCTTGGTGACAGCCTTTGTTTTCAGCTGCTCTTGCATCAACTGCTTGATATCTTGTGGTTTATTTCGGCTGATACTCATTGTGAGGACTGGATGAGGAGTGTGAGGTGAGCAGCAGGAGAGGAATAGCGGTGTTGCGGCACACAGCTGCGACCCGGACGTCGTCCTCGCTTTTTTCTTGAACTACCACAACAACAGCCCGCTTTCCCTTGAACCGCGACAACACATCATCCCCTATCCAGCGCAATAATTTCCCTTTAACACCAAGACTAGCTAATTCATATAAAATAACCTCTTTGTTGGCTTTATCAAAAGCTCCTTGTAAATCAATGAAAATTCTATAATATCTTTACGAAAGGAAGGCTCAGGTGTGGTATCAAGGTTGTATGTCAGGTGTGAGGTCTTTTGAACTCGGCACACCTCAGGGAGGAGTGTTGAGTCCCACCTTGTTAATGTACTAATGAATAAGATAGCATCTGAGAGATACTCAAATGGAGTAACTCCGATCATATATGCCGATGATATTTTGTTTCAGGGCAAAGATATTTCAAAGGTTCAAACAGTGTTGGACAATTTCGGAAACCTGTGTCACCATATGGGATTGGTGGTTAATGAAAACAAAACTAAGTTTGAATGTAGAAGTCGGAGCCCCATTGTTTTGAAAATAAACGATAAAAATATAGAGAGAGTTAATATATATAAATATTTAGGCATATATGTTGGATATACCCATGAGAGTTTGGAAGCTGAGATGAACAGACTGTTGGGTCAATGTCGGAAGAGATTACAACCTCTGAAGGCTTTGGCATGCTGTGGAAAGGGAGTGGGAGTCCCTGTGCTACGAATGTTATACTTGAGTACTGTAAGATCTCTTATTGATTATGCTGCACCTGTCATTTCTTGTTTTGGTAAAGGTAGGATGGGCAAGTTGGAGAAGGTACAAAATGAAGCAATGAGAATTATCTTAGGATGCCCAAGAAATGCTATGATTGAGATAATGAGGATGGAGTTGAATCTGTAGAGTATTGGGGATAGAATTTCAGAGATAAATGTAGCCTCTGCCATTAGATTAATGAGAGGTGGGGGAGCTAATGAATTAATCCTCTCGGTTCAAAAGGTGGGAAGTAGTGAACAGTGTATGATGAAGAAGAGAGTATATTGACCAGACCACACACTAGAATTTGAAGGGACGACGACGTTTCGGTCCGTCCTGGACCATTCTCAAGTCGATTGTGACAATCGACTTGAGAATGGTCCAGGACGGACCGAAACGTCGTCGTCCCTTCAAATTCTAGTGTGTGGTCTGGTCAACATACTTCAGCCACGTTATTGTGACTCATCGCCTGCAAAGAGAGTATATATGAATAAATTATGTTATAATGTTATAAAGTATGATGTTATTACAGAGTGTATTGCTGTACCCAAGAGAAAATTTACACCACCATGGGAGGATTGTAATGTAGATGTAGTAATTACTCCCTTGCATAAGAAAAAAGTATGTATGAAATAGGAGAGCTGAGGGCAACATATGATTGTATAATTAGACAACTGCCTACAGAAAACACTCTACATGTATATTGTGATGGGTCAGTAGCTAGGGATGGGAAGGCAGGATGTGGAGTCTTGATCAGGGAGTACACTGACATCGGCACTGTAGATACTGTTATTGGACGCCGCTTAACTGACAATGTCTCTTCAACGCAGGCTGAACTCCAAGGAGTATTAGCAGGATTACAGGAAGTAGTCAAATGTGGTAAAAATGCTTGCTTCTTTATTGACAGCAGAGGAGCGTTAGAGTCTTTAAATAGCAGACGCCCAGTATATCAGAATATTGTGATAGAGTGTAGAGAGAATGTTAAGAGACTAGAAAAAACTGGGTATAAAGTAAGATTCATGTGGATCCCTTCACATGTGGGAATACTGTTGAATGAGGTAGTTGATGACATAGCGAAGAGAGCCACTGAAAAAACTCTTGTTGATGTTGTATGTCAGTTAACCTTGAAACAAATAAAAACAAGACTCAAGGTGATTCAGGAGGGTGAAGAAATGATAAAGAGAATGATAAAGACACTCGCCTGGCGTTCCGCGAGCGCTGTCATGGGTTCGTATCCTGGCCGGGGAGGATTTACTGGGCGCAATTCCTTAACTGTAGCCTCTGTTTAACGCAACAGTAAAATGTGTACTTGGATGAAAAAACGATTCTTCGCGGCAGGGGATCGTATTCCAGGGACCATAGGATTAAGGACTTGCCCGAAACGCTACGCGTACTAGTGGCTGTACAAGAATGTAACAACTCTTGTATATATCTCTCTCAAAAAAAAGAATGGCATTGGTTGACAGTAGTAACACACTTAAGAATTATTCAATAATAAATATAAATTCGTCCTTCACTTATGGTAAAGGAAAGTCTACTTGGAAGGATTCAATTTACATGAGATTACGATTAGGATATAAATATATCTGGCAATACGGTGTCGATGTCAGTGAAAAAGATAAGGAGTGTAAATTATGTAGCATGCCGTACGCCCACACCTTAGAACATTATGTATTAGAGTGTCACCTTATTGAAAATATAGAAATAAGGAAATAAATAGTGTACCACATCAAATTGTTTGGATGTGTGATAATGGTATAATAGACAGTATACTTAGGAGCTACAAGAATTTTGCACCAAGAATGTAACAATTATATGCTGTACTTGCTGTATGCAATGTTAAATGGGATTCTTGTACTGTTATATGTCTATTTGTACTCACTGAATTTGTGCGCCCCTTGAGGGACTTGAAGTAGAGGGGGGTAGAAATAGCCTAAGCTACTCTATCCCTTTGAGATGTATTTATTGCTTATCTCAATAAACATACTTGAACTTGAACTTGAACACTCATCAACAATGTTCCCCCCTCTTTTACCTCTATTTTTATTTGTGCTCAACACATTTTATTCTTTTTACCCATTAGTTTTAAGCTTTAGTCATTAGTGTTTTTTCCTGCCCGAAACGCTTTGCGTAATAGTGGCTTTAGGCATTGTATGTACTAGCTCTATCTATAAAGCCAACAAACTTTGTAAAATCTCTTTATGTATGTACCTTTACCTAAATAAAAATTATTATTATTATTATTATTATAAAAAACACATCATCAAATTTGCAGATGACACAAACAAACATACATGGTAAAGTGGGAAATAATAATGATATTGGAGTCCTACAACGAAATCTACATGAACTCCACATATGGTCAGAAGACTGGCAAATGTTTTTTTAATATTGACAAATGCAAGACCTAGCATGTGGGTACTTAACATGAGAAAGGAACTTAATATTCCGAGCGTTGTTAATCGTGTTACTTAAATTAACTGTCAAATTGGTATAAAAATGCTTAGGCCAACTCATCCTAACGTTTGCACAGAAGCCCTAAAGAATTTCTTTATTGAAGGTCAACATTGTTCCAAATGGATAACTAAAACTGGAACTGAACTCAGAATGTATTAGATTTATGAGGTACCATTGGGAATGACCTTCCCAATCATGTCAAAGGCTCTACCTCTCTCAACCATTTCAAGAGAAAAACTAAGTACTACCTAATAAACTCCATGTAACCTACCTTACCCCCCCCCCCAAATGTCAACACACGTCTTAAAAAATACTGTTTGTTGACCAACTTGTATAACTGCTAATTTTTACCATGTTTTCCCTCCCCCTTTTTTATTCCCTTTTCAACACAATTTATACTTTAATCTCAATTAGTATTAAGTTTTAGTTTAAGTGTTTTTTTCCCCACACCTTGCCCGAAACGCTGTGCGTATTAGTGGCTTTAGGTATTGTATGTACTAGCTCTATCTAAAATCCAACATTATGTTTGTAACTCATCTTCTGTGTATGTACTTTTACCTGAATAAACATTTTATTTGATTTTAGTTGATTTGATAATTAGTACCAAGAGAAACAACAACGGCACTTTCCGGCACCGTGGGAAATTACACCCTTTCCAGTTTTAATCCCTCCCTTTCCACCCATGAAACAAATTAGAGCTCAGCCCAAGCTTCGTCTTGAAGTAAAGCTCAACGCCTTAAGCCATATATATATATGTCTCAGTAGCATGGGCTATGGTGAGCCCGTAGTGGAAATACCTGGCACAGGAGAGGGGCTAATAAATAAATAAATAAATAAAAACGGCGAGTAATTACGAACGACGTCCTGTCGTTCTTCTTCCTTCCCTTCGAAGTCTTCGAAGGTGACTGTAGAGGGCGTCGGACAGCGTCGATTCTTACAAACACGTGTTCAGTTGTGTGGAGCTTATGAAGCACATATGTAGCACGAGTTGTCGGTTAGCATGGTTGTGTTGGCCGAATGCTTGTCATGGCCGCCCGTAATTTCTGGACAAAAGTGGGGTCCGGGGGTGTTACTTGTGGCGTCGGGGTTAAGAATTGAGAGGGTTGAGAATCCACTGCCCTTCTTCGTGGCCGAACGGATGCCAAGCAAGACTAATGGAGGGTGGTCGAACCAATCATCAGGGCGTGCTTGAGCTCTTAGGGCGGCTTTTAGTTGTCTATGAAAGCTTTCTACCATTCCATTTGATTCAGGGTGGTATGTTGTGGTTCAGTTGTGTGTGGTGCCAAGGAATTCCATAAGTTCCTTCCACAGATATGATTCGAATTGTCGTCCTTGGTCGGTGAGGATGACAGAGGGGCTGCCAAAACGGGCGACCCATCCAGAGAGGAAAGCCTCGACCACTGACTCAGCTGAGATGTTGACTAATGGGATTGGTTCTGGCCATCTGGAGAATCGATCGATGCAGGTGAGTAGATAAGAATATCCTCTTGCCGACAGTAACGGTCCAACGATGTCTATATGCACCACCTCGAAACGGTCAGAAGGTAATGGGAACTGTTGAAGAGGGCTTTTTGTGTGTCAATGTGTTTTTGCTCGCTGGCAGTGGAGACAAGAGCGTCGAACATCGGCATTGATTCCTGGCCATACGACACGCTCTGATAGTAGTTTCGGAGTGAAATGCTGAGAATGTTTTCCAGCAAAACTGGACAGGAATGTAGGGCTTAAGTGCTCCCGTCCGTGAGATGTCACAGATTATACTACCGCCACCTTCCATGGAATCTCGATGAACCGGAGAGCTGAGTCAGATGTTCGTAATCGCTGCAAATCAGGGTCTTCCCGTTGAGCCTTGCTGATTACACAATAGTCCACCTG